CCCCCCCCCCCCCGCGCGCCCCCGTCCTTCTCTCCCCCAATCAAGCACAAAGCGACCCGCGGTGAAAAAGACGCTTCGTGTCCCTGAACTGTGAGTTGAAACGGCAGGGGACCCGGCTCTGGCATGTGTGGGAGGGAAACCTGCCGCGATCATCAGTACCTCCGAGCTGACGCTGACGGCGTTCCTTGGCATGGGCACGCGCACGACCACGTTAGTCCCCGCCGCGGTCTCCGGCATGTCGGCCCGCACGATCACAACCACCTCCATCCTGGCCGCGGACGCACGGCCGTAAAAAGGGCAAAACAACAAGAAGAAACGACGGGACAAAAGTGGGAGAATCCGTGAGCAAGGGGGTACGATAAACACACGACAGGTACAAAAACATGGGCATGTGCGGCCAAGCAGAAGGCGCAATGACGTGGCATTCTGACTCGACATGACGAACGCACTTCGCTGGCGGAAGGGTATTCGGTACAAGTCAAACGTCGACCATTTCGACTAAGTACGTGTTCGACACACGAGGCATATTGCACACCCAAGCTTCGACACTAGCACAAAACGAGTCGGGTGTGAAGTTTGGCTTGTGCAAAGCGCGTCCAAGATAGACGAAACAGAGAACACAGGAATCCGGGCATCAATCATCCCAGTCTTTCTGATCACACACCGCGTGCGGGAGGTTGACGGCTCAGCACTCAGGCCGGGGGAGGGAGAGGAGCATCGCTACTTCTAACAAGAAGAAACGACCGACCGAGACAAAAAGAGGGATGGTGGGAATGCAACAAGACAATTGGAGATGTATACAAGTGTACCTGTAGGGGTCCACGTCGAGGATGGGGGGAAGACAAGAGACATCATATGGAAAGAAGTGTACCTGTAAGGGTCTATGTCGCCGACGCTCGGGAATAGGCGGAAGGGGCACCGGAACTCGGCGTTGATGCGGTAGTTGAGCAACACGAACTCTCCGTCCGGAGGGGTGAAGCTCAGCTGCCGCATCGACTCAAACTCGTCAAGCTTGGCGCATTCGTGGAAGTTGCAGTCCTTTACGACAGCGGAGACACGGAGAGAAGGAACGGCAGCACGGCAGTAGCGGTGTTTCGTGCACCCTGCGTTAGCGTTAGCAGCGACCGCTCGCGAGCGACGACCGCCCCACTTTATTAATCCCCTTCGCGTTTGACCGCGCGTCGACAATGAAGTTGGAGCCCGCGTTGTCAGCAAGATTGCTGCAGGAAATATGCCGCAAGACATGCGTAGTCCCCTACGAGTGGAGACCTCGATACTTCACGATAACCTATCGCCAATAACCAACGCTGTTTTTCACCACTGCTGGCGGAAAGAGAGCGACGTTGCCCACGACAACCCGGTTCATGGTGTTCGCACAAACGACGCTCCGCCTCTTACTCAAGATGTCCCTCGACGATTCTTCTCTTCGTGCAAAGCGGCCAAAAGAGTAAGGATATTGGAGTAACTCACGTCCAACACCACCGACCCGAAGCTCGATCCCGCGTTCGCTTTCCCCACGACAAGATCCTCGTTCAAAGCCAATCGGAGCTCCGGGTTTCCTGGAGAGAAAACGCGACAAAAATCATGGATCGTAGGGGACATTTTCCCGGGTGACAGCAGTCGAGAAACCACACGTCAACATCCTCTGGAAGCAAAGGGCACCGTTGACTATGCCACAGCAACTATGTTCGGTAGGCGGTGCACTTCAACAAGAATTCTCGATATAAACGGCACTCGACGTCACCAATAGAGCCAGAAATAAAAGTGCTAGAGGCAAAGCTAGCGCCACCATGCTGGTATCGAAGAAGAGACCGGCGGTGAGAACGTAGTACAAGGTGGTATATATCGACTGTGTCACATCTTCCCGATACCGGAGCCTTTGGCCCACCCGCAGTGACTCGGGCGTGGGGTCCAAGCGCTCTCGTGTTGAGTTGTTCTTAAAAAATACGATTTGCGTGGATGCTTCTGACAAGTCGCATCGGCGGTGTCGGATCGCACGGAGATTTCGAAAAAAAAAAAACGGACATCACCGAAAGGGCCTATCTATCGTACCGGGGGTGCTTTTTGCCGACCGCAGTATCCACCACTCACCGCTGAGGTAGCTCTTCATCTGTATGCACCCGTCGATGGAGCTGTTGACCACCTGGCCGCTTTGGCTGAACAGGACGCTTAATCTGCAACGATCGAAGACCACCCCCAGAGGGAGTTAGGAGCGATGGCGCAGAAACCACGATTTCATGGATGGCGTATAGGAGAAACCAGACGTACGTGTCACGTGTGTCGCAATCAGGAGGAGAATTCCTTGTGAGAATAGAATTCTACCTATGTATCATGGTGTGTTTGCAGCCGCGCGAGCCACGCACAGCAGTGCACAGCGATCACACAGACGAGCCCCCATGCCGAGCATCCCGCACTTGCCCAATGCGCTCCAGGGTTTGCCTTTCGACACAACCAACCCCGAAGCCAAACATGGCAGATTTTCAAAAATGCGAAGAAAGCAAGACAAGCTGGTGCAACAAATACGCAAACAGCACCACCAAGAAACGTGCCCGCGAATCTCCAAGAAAGGGACGTATCACACCGGTTATCAACCGCGCTCAACGCACACCTCTCGAGGATGTCGACGAATATCTCGTTCCTTTGAGACCCATTCTTTTGCCCGCTCCCCGACACGGGCTTCTGTATAGACGATGACGGCGCTGTCTTCGTCTTGAGTGCCTGCGTGGCAAAGTGGATTTGTTATCGTTATACATCCTCAAAATCAACACAAGTACCATAACAATTTGAGGGGCAAGACGTGTCCTCGCGCTGGTGCGGTGGGGCGATTGGTGGCGTAGGTCTCTGCAAAAATTCCTTGGCACGACAACAAGGGCCCCGGCGCCATCTCCAGTCCTTTGCAGAACATTCTACGAATGCCTGGCATTTCGTTGCAACAGCTATCGCAACACACATATTCAAGCGCTTGAGAAGAACAGCAAGCGGACTGCACCACGCGCGAATGGAACTCACTGAAGGTAGCCGCATGGACTTGACGGAATCTACCAAGATCGGCTCATTCCGGACGTGATTCCGAAGCGTCTCGGTGCTGGTGCCCTGTGGGTACCCGTAGTCCAAGGTCTCGTCCAGCAGCTCGTACACCAGGATGAAGTTTTTTCGGATAGCTTCCTGGGCGGGCGGGGGTACGTCGGCCGAGGCAATCAGAAGAACATCGGCAGCAAGCGAAGCCGCGAACCGAACCATCTCCCAGTTCCATCCATACACCTCATCTAAGACTTACATACTGTGGTCAAGCCATTTCCCCCCTGCCTCCATGAACAAACGTCCAAACCAACATTCACCTCCGACAGGACGCCGCAGTAATCCTTGAAAACCTTGGCCAGGCGGTTAAGGAGCTCGAGGAACATGCTTGGAGACACGTTCCACTGGGTCGACACCGCAAACAGGAGGCCGTTCTTGCGGACGTAGATGTAGTTGACGCCGTCGATCGTGAAGCACGGCGGCGGGTCTCCACCTTCCCAGAACTTTACCTGTGCGTTACCGCGAAAACAAGAACAGGGCAGCGCACGTTCAACACTGCGCCGTGGCAACCACAACGCTGTTTCTGCTGCCACCATGACAACGGAGGTGACGTCTCCTAATAGCGTGATTGTTGTCGGGATCATCTACAAGATGCGGCAGCGTGCGTAGCTTCGTCGTGGCAATGACCGCCCTCTCCGTGCGGTGCGGGTAAAACTGCAAGCCGTTTCCCGCCTATACCTTTCGCTCTTGAATGACGGCAAGGGAACAACTGCTGTACAAGACTCCCAAACCACCAAGAGCACAATGTGATCGACGACATCCGACCCATGTGCGCTGCAGTCATCGTACTGCGTTGAGGTCGGTACTGCTGCACGCGGTCTGCCCAAGCGTTGGCCGGTCGGTTGCCGAAGCCGAAATGAGGCAATGGTGTTGGGCAGTGTTGGGGTATTTGTGTTGTGCATGAACGACTCTATTCTGCTGTGTGGACTTGATCCCCGGCATTGTGAAGGCGAGCGTGTTTCCAAGTCCGGAGCCGTCCGGATGAAGACAGCTTGGGGCACCTGTGTGTGGATAATAGATCACTCTGTGTTTCTCTACCCAGGCCTCCGTCACATACGCCAGCCACAGCATACAACAGCCGTTGTCGTGCTGTCAGGTCTTGAGCCTCGCGCGGTAGGGGAACTGACACGAGTCACATGGCGTCCGCAGCTCTCATCACGATTCCCATGCAACGTGGGTTTGTGCCTGTTGATGGTGATGATGCGAGCTTCCCTGTATGGGTCACTCTGACACGGTTCTTGATGCAAAAGTCTGGCCTCGGAAAGACAATGTCGGGAAAAGAACAACCTCTGGAAGCTCTGACGGGAGATGAAGCCCCGGACGAACGGGCGGCGCATGCCACTGCGATGGAGCAATTCGCAGAGAGAAATGGCGAGCTGTACATGCGGCTTCTGATGTCGACGTCCGACGGCGCAGGAGGGTTCTCCCGCGCGGCATCACAGGTGGTACAGAGGTACGGGCCGATTGGAGATGCTGAGTATGGGGATGGTCGTGCTGCATTCGTGGCGCTACAGAAGAAGTACAAGGTGGCGGGTCCGTATCGGATGAAGCAGCTGCACGCAAAAACTGGCATCCGTCACCGTCACAGCAAGCGACGAATACTTTGATCCGTCGCGCGCGATCCAGGAGTTGCGCCGCATTTCTACCGAGTTGAGTTCTCTCGGCGATATTGTCGTCGACTCGTGGCTGTCCAACGCTTTGCATGACGCTCTCCCGGACAGCCACTACAGCGAACTGAAGACTGCGTTGCTGTGTGAGTCGCCGAGGTCGGCTGAGGGTACTACGGTTGATTTCGAAGTACTCGCCCTCCGTGCTACAACATTTCATGCAATGCGAATCCGGGGGAAAAACTCTGGTCGCGTCGATGGGGCAGGCAGTCATGGTCGGGCTTTGAACACTGTCATGCACGGACGAGCCCGTGCCTTCCGCGAGCAAGGGGTGCGCGGTGGACGTGGCGGACGTGGTCGTCGAGGAAATGGAGGCCAAACTACGAACGGTTCGACGGGCGGCGGTTCGTCGAACGGGAACAACGGAGGTGCCTCGACACACGGAGACAGCGCGGGAAATGCGCAAGGCGGACGCGGCAATGGTCGCGGTAGCCAAGCTTCCGGTGGAAACGGTCGAGGACGGGGCCGGGACAATGGTCAAAACTCGAAGGGCTTGTGCAGGTACTGCCACAACTCCAAAGAGCACGAGTGGCACAACTGCCCGCTTCGCCTTTCGCAGGAGGCGGAAGAAGCCAAGGGACAGGCTTCTCATGTCACGCAGGAGTCGACCACGCAGGCGTGGTTTACGCGGATCGAGGGACCCAGCAGCCAGCTGGAGGACTTCGCGATTGTTATCGGAGATGACACGCAGGTGCAGACGGAGCCTGATGACTACATGCGGGTGCAGAAGGCACCTGTTGTTGCGGCGCTGCCGGAAACGCGCGCCGCCAACAACCCGCAGGTAGGTGCAGAAGGTGCCTGGTGCGGCGCAGCTAGAGGAGCGCGCAGCTGGAGTTGTGCAGGTGCAGGATGTGCCTGCTGCGGTGCTGCGTGATGAGCGCGCCGCTGGTGATGTGCCGGTGCAGGCGGTGCTTGTGGCGACGACTCACCTTCAGGCGGAGGAGGCGTCTGATGGAACAGAGTATGTCGCGTATACCGTGTTTCAAGTGGAACCGGTGTACCGCACCAAGGTCGACGCTGATATGTGGCATCGTAGAATGAGCCATTGCCACCCACGTGCTCTGCAGCAGCTGGCGGAAAAAGCGACAACCGGAGTGAGGTACAACCGGAACATCGAACCAGGTGACTGCGGGGTTTGCGCGGTTGGCGACAGCAAGAAAGGTAGCCACCCCCCGTCGAATCGCACTCGAGCCACGACTCGGCTTGAGATTCTGAGCGCCGATGTGTGGGGGCCGCACCCTGTCAAGTCGTCCGGCGGTTGCCAGAGTGCCGGTATGTTTACTGATCACCTTTCTCGCATGAGGTTTGGCTTTCTCCTGAAGACGAAAAATGGGGTGGCGGAGTCGCTCCAAGAGCTTATCCAGAACGAAGCGGATATTTTGGGGACCTGCATCGGCAAGGTGCACTGCGATGGCGGAGCAGAGTTCAAGGGCAGGTTCCAAGCATTGTGTGAGTCAATGGGGATCAAGGTCGATAGTAGCCCTCCCTACGTCCCGCAAGGGAACGCCATCGCCGAGCGTGGATTTGGCACCATCATCGGAACGGCGCGCAAGCTACTCCTGGGAGCACCGCACCTTCCAGGCTATCTGTGGGGCGAAGCATTCCATACAGCTATCTACCTCAAGAATCGCACACCTACGGAGGTTCTGGGCGGAAAGGCCCCACTTGAGGTATAGGAGGGGAAACCGCTCGGTGACATGTCACACATCCACGAATGGGGCTCGGTAGCCTACAAGCATGAGGAAGCGCGACTCCGGAACACCAAGCTGTCAGCTAGGGCCAAAAAGATGTATCATGTGGGGTACAACACTAAAAATAGGACATACAGGCTGTGGGAACCGGCGGAGCCCCTCGAGATCACAAACTCCGCTGAGGTGTCCTTTCGTGAGAAAGAGACTCGCGACGTGGTCACACCCAAGAAATGGTACGACCCATTCTCAGCGATGACTCCCACTACCATCTATCTGCCGGACACGGTGGACACTAACGAAGAATACATCAAAACAGAAGAAGAAAGAAGAAGAAGAAGAAGAAGAAGAAGAAGAAGAAGAAGAAGAAGAAGTAACGCCAACGCCATCGGGACCCCAAATGGAGGATTCGAACCTAGGTCGGAGCGGCAGGGTCTCCAACGCACCGGAGGGGATGAATCTGCATACGACGGAGGAGGCGTACGAGCGGACTGAGCATGCCCTGATGACGGGTAGTGTGCTCGACAACATCGGGACTGGTCGCCCCGGTGAGGCGAGCTACAGGCCTGCTGATCCCGCAAGCTATGACGCAGCGGTCAACGGCAAGGAGGGAGCCCTCTGGAAAGAAAACGTCAGCGACGAGGGAATGTCCCTAAACAAACATGACGTTTTCGACTAGATGGATCCGCCGAAGAACGCTTAAGCGATCCCGTCTAGGTTCCATTCCGTGTGGAAGTACAATCAGGACGGCGTGGCGGTTCGCGCGAAAACTCGTGTGGTGGTGCAAGGCTTTTTACGAAGCTGATACGGGGGCCGACAAGGCGGCGCCGGTGGCGTCCATGGAATCCGTACACATGGTGTTAGCAGTTGTTGCCCACAACCATCTCGTCCTGAAGCAAGCGGATATCAAGACGACATTTCTACATGCCAGAATCCCCGAGGAGGCGGAGCCTACATACGCCATACCGTCGAAACGATTCCCGTGTTCGCCGGGTCAAGCTAAACTAGTCTGGCTTCTCAAGGCGTGGCTCTATGGCCTGCGCCTCTCTCCGAAGGGATGGAACGGTACTTTTCATGTCTTTCTGCTGGAGCTTGGCTTTGTGCAGAGCACCGCAGACCCGTGCCTTTACTCACTGCAAGACGGAGAAGTACTTCTGCTTGTATACGTGGACGACATCCTGTTCACCGGCACCAATGAAGATCTGGTGACGACGGTAATTTCGCGGCTGAAGGAAAGGTTCGAAACGGTGGATCTGGGGGATGCGAAGTTCCTTCTGGGAATGGCCATTCAGCGCCATCTCAACGCCGGCATACTTCTCCTGACGCAAGGGCGTCCACCAAGGCCGTGCTGGCTACGTTCAACATGGCTGACGCACACCCGACGAAGACGCCGGCTGAGGTTGGGCCGATCACCACGGCGGAGGATGAAGTGCTGTCGCCAGAGGACACCAAGAACTTCCGGTCGGCTACGGGTTCGGTTCTTTACCTTTGCAGGGGAACGAGGCCGGACATTGCACACTCAGTGTTGGTGCTTACCAGGAGCATGGCGAAACCGGGACCGGAGGCGATGGCCAAGCTGAAGCGGCTGCTTCGGTACCTTAAGGGGACCACCTCCATCGGAATCACGTACAGCGAGGATGCCGAGGATGGAGACAAAATAACGGCGTACGCTGACTCGGACTTCGGAGGTGACCTAGACGACCGGAAGTCGACTACAGGGATCGTTCTATTCCTAGCCGGTGGACCAGTGGGCTGGAGGGCGGCTAAACAACCGCTGGTGGCCGCCTCATCGGTAGAGGCGGAGTACGTGGCGTTGTCCAAGGCTTGCCTTCCGGCACCTTCTGAAGACAATAAACCGTGCCCAGAAGGAGGCAACGGTGCTTGACGAGGATAACTCCGGGGCTATATTGACTAGCATTAGCTCCAAGATCACGCCCAGGACCAAGCATATTGATCTCAAGTATCACCACATCAGGTCGCTGATTCAGGATGGAGTCGTGAAGGTAGAGAAGATCGAGTCAGCAATGCAGAAAGGTGACATGTTTACCAGAGTTTGGGTGCTGTAAAGTTCATCAAGAACCGCATGATGCTCTTAGGAGAATAGTTTGTGTTGGAAACGAAGCTCAGGAGATGTGTGTAGGAAGAAAATAATCCGCTGCTTGAAGGACATGTAAAGCAGCTAGAAATTATTTTGATGTTGAACGTATTTAAGTACTGGTGACGATTGTTGATTCGAGAGGACATTGACGTTTTGAGAGGACATCGAGAGAGAAGTTGTCTTGTGTATCAGAACGAGAATGCCGTAGTTCTTGAGAGGACATGTTGGGGTATTTGTGTTATGCATGAACGACTCTATTCTGCTGTGTGGGTTTTATCCCCGGCATTGTGAAGGCGTGTTTCCAAGTCTGTAACCGTCAGGTGAAGACAGCTTGGGCGCCTGTGTGTGGATAATAAATCACTCTGTGCTTCTCGTCCCACGCCTCCGTCACACACGCCAGCCACAGCATACAACAGCCGTTGTCGTGCTGTTAGGCAGCATTAACCTGGAACAACTTCATAAGCAGCAGTTGCGGGCTTTCACTGCCATCTAGCCTTGCAGTACGGCGTAGCCAAAGCGACTGCATGTACTGCTGGAAGGCACGCCTGCTACTGATCTGCTGATGATTGTAGCATTGTTTGCCGCTCCGTACTCCATGGCGAGATGTTTACTCTATCTCTCCGCCGACACATTTTCAATACAAAAGATGTGTTTCCGCTTGCCTTTCGGAAGAAGGTGTCCGTCGTGCCGGCAACTGCATCGCCGCGGTAGTCCTTGGAAATGATAGTGTCGCCACGCGGCGACAGGATGAAGAACTGCGAGACGGGGGCAATCGACATCTTGGTTGCTTGCTGCCCTGCTGCCTCCTGCTGTCTCCTGAGGTCGCTGCTGTGCAGCTGTTGAGGTCTACAGTAGGACCTCCACTCTGCGTACAAGGAAAAAACTTCACCACCAGGTGTTGATAAACACCCCAGTGTGTATCGTGTGCACAAACTCCCCTACTGTCGCACACGCCTGTCACCACAGCAGGCAAGAAAGTATATGTTCCGCGTGCCTGGCAGGCTGGTGCCAACTCTCAGCTCAGCTCAGCACTAGAGGCGACGCGGAAGGATTCGTGCTAATGGCAGCCCTACCTCCACTCATTTTCGCTCTCCAACAGGAGATCCCCCACCGGTGAACCCGAGGGCAGCCAACACAGCAGCTCACAGGAGCTAAGCTTGCGCAGAGCGGCAGCAGTGTGTGTAAGAGCAAACCCGGCAGCCATGGCGACTAGGGTTGGGTTGATTCGGGCCCGGGGCCATTCATGTCGGGCTCAGCTCGTGCATGGCCCGCTGCAGAGCTCGATCAGCGGTGTGCGGTTGCTGGCCCGCCTCTCCTCCTCTTCGCGCAACACTGCTGTAAAGGGCAGCCCCAGCGGCAGAAGCAGCAGTGCTCCCTTAGCGTTTCGCCCTCCCGATCGTAGACACCAGTATCCCGCGTCGTCGATTTTTCTGGGGAGAAGCGACAGCGGCAGTGGCGGCAAGGCTCTGTTCTCGTCGACTACAGCAACCAGGCCTGCTCACGAGGAAGGAGCTGCGCAGGACTCGGACCCGGGCCGCAGCAGCAGTAGCAGCAACAACAACAAACCGGGGCGAAAGACGTTTGATGGGAAAGACAACGACGACAGGCTCGCTAGGCTGGACGATGGGGATAAGGTGTGTTGACGGTGTAGCGTTCTGTCTGCAAAAGTATTTCGGTGTCCATTTTGGTCGGAGTGCGCGTGGTTGCCATGTACAGGGAGGCCGAGGCCACCCTGGTGCGCATCTATGCGCGCCGAAGCAACCCAGTGCACTCGAGGACGGCGTGGCAACAAGCACGGCAGATGATGTAGCACAATACAGCAGCAGTTTCAACCTTAGAGTGTGCCCAAGAAGAGTTTGTGCGCAGGGTAAGACAAGCCGGGAACGGGGCTGGTGAAATCCGGCCGTCGCCGCCGCCGCCGATGGCAGAAGGGTACAGCGCGGACGCTGCGGTGTTTGCGTTCGGGCGCAGGAGTAGCAGTGATTCGCATGTATGCGAGCGATTGCACATCGAGCAGCCGCATGACGAGCGTGTGGGCGATTTGCAGTTCCAGAAGGCACATGTGTTTCACGGCAACCCTCCATCTCATAGCACAACAGGGGGCAGTCTCATTCTACTCTGCTGGGTAGCCGTCCGTGTAAACATGAACCCATCGGTCTGGTGCTTCGGCAGCCGTGCGCGTAATTCGTTGACGGCATTTGTTCGCAAGCACGCACACGCGCTCCCATTAAGGTGAAAGCGCTTCTTGTTCATTGAGCCGGCCTTTCCGTTGGCCCCCTTCTCACTCTCTCGCCGTCGCGCTTCCTCCCTTCCTCATCACGTAAATGACCCAACAGTACGAGGACTTCTTCGACCTCCGGCTAGCGGAGGCGGAGACCATCTTCCCGGAGGGCCTCGCCGGCGGCAGGCAGGGCGCCCTGGAGCGGGCGATGGCCGGCGGCACGTCCACGGCGCTCCTCCGCCGCGAGGCTGCGGACGCGCTGATCCACTCCCTCGACGCCTTCGCACCAGAACACGGGGGGGCGGTGCCGCCGTTCGGCATCGAAGGCACCTCCAGCGAGAACTGGCGCAAGGCTTGCGAGGCGAGGCAGTACGGCAGCCAGCAGGACGGCGGTGGGTCTAAAGCAGGCGCGGCAACGGCGGCGGCGGCATCGCCAGACGATGAAGATCGGGACGACGGCGGCGATGATGATGACATCATCGGGGATGTGAAGGCAGCGGCCGCGGAGGGGGCGGCGGCGGCGGCGGCGGCGGCCGAAGCAGTTAAGGCGGCGGCCACGGCCGCGGCGGCGGCGGCTGCGGGCGGGGAAGGGCCGGAGCAGGAGGAGGGGAGGGGAAGAGAGGACAAGAAGGTCCTCGGGAGCGGGCCGGTATGGGAGGAGATGAAGGCTTTGGCGGAGTCGAAACGAAAACCGCTCAAGGGCGTTCGACGCGTGGTGATCCAGCCTGGTCAGGTGCGTCCGTGGGGTTGTTGATGTCGCCGGCAGCATGTTTTGTTCGTAGCAGTCATCGCTAAATCGGAGCGCGCGCGTGAAAGTTTTGTCAACATTGCCGCTTATCAGTTGCCAGCGCGCGTCCCAGCCACGGCCTCGACACCCCCGCGCGTGGTCGCTGACGTGGCGTCTACTGCAGCTGCACGAAGGAAGCAAACATGTGTACGTCGCCCCCCGCCAGTCACCACGACACCGCTGACCTTTCCGCGTATATGCGTGCGGCTGCTGTCTGATAATACTGTAGCGTTCGTACCTCCTGACAGGGCGGCGGGGCTCCGGCAAGAGCTGCGTCCTCAATCATGCCGTCCTCCACGCCAGGTAAGGTTTTGTTTGGAGTATGCGCACTCACTATTGTCGCGCCACATGGTGCTTGTTACCGCGAGCTGACTGTGACGTACCGCAGCTGCGAGTGTAGGTACAGAAATGTGCGAAAGACAGAGCGTGCTTGTATCTGGATGGTCGCAGGATTGCGCTCTAAGCACTCGAGATTTTGTGAAGGGCAAGCGTTTATGCTAGAGGCGCATATGCCACTCTCTCTCTCTTCTCTCTCGCTGTTTTCGTCCCTTCCTCGTGCTCGCGCTCCTGGCACACGGGTGGGTTAGTTGGCCATGCAGATCTGCGAGCTACGTACCTACAACATCCGAGATGTAGTCCTATGGCCATCGTCTCCAACGAACCGCAAAACCCGCACACGAGAATCGCGTTAGTCTCGCACACAAAGAATTGACTCATGCTGGCTACCTTGGGGTCGACGGAAACGCTCACTGATTGTGCCTTCTCTCGTGGATTAGCCAAGTCGTGGAAGAAGCCCCTTTGATGGCAGAGTATTGTCCCGCTCTACACAAGTACACCTGCTATTTTTGGGATAACGAGGGCCCCGTGGTGGCCTGTGCTTGTCGGCACAGGTCGACAGGATGGATCGTTCTCTTCGTGCCGGACGGGAGGAACCTGGTCCAGAAGGGGATCTACTGCCAGCCGTCCCCTGTCCTGGAAGGGTTGTACGACCTTCCAGTTCAGGCGAGTTGGTGCTGCTCTTTTGCCTGTTGTACCTAACCGTGTTGGGAATTATTTTGCCGGCCGGCCTTCAGCTGTCGGGGTGTTTTGAAGGTAGCCCATGTTGTGTTTTATGGAGCCCCGTCCTCTGGTCGTGAAAAATGTGTTTGCCAAGGGTGCGGCAAGCTGTCTAGGAGATGTGGCACACAGTGTCGCGTTTTTTTAGTCTCAGCCCTATCCGGATCTTGGCGAGAGGTCGAAAGCGTGGGTGAACGCATCGAAAAGTGGTCGTTCAGTCTCTGATTATTCTTTTTGGCGTTCGGTTGACGTTGGAGAGACTCTTTGGCAATGTTGATTTTCGGGCGTCATCGCTTATTTTTGAGTCCATCGGCACACGCCCCATTTGTTTTTGCTAACCCTAACACTAACCCTAAACCTAGTTGTCGAAGGTTTGTCGTGCACACCCCACTGCTCACCGTTTCAACCTCGCGTACCCCATTCCAACCAACGACAGCACCTGCCCATCCCACTCTCCGTTCCCCCCCGCCTGTCTTGCAGTCTATGAAGAGACTCAAGACTCTTCGGGAAGCTCACGGCGACCAGCTCAAGAACATCAGCATCAAGGACCCCGAGGTACCGTTTCGTGCGTCAGTATTTCAGTGCTGATCGTCGTCCCCGTCTTCCCCTAGTGTAGAGGACGTGGGGAGACCCGCCGCCAACTCGCCCTTGCCGCTGTCCCGCGCGGGTCAGTTGGTGATGGCCTTTTGTCCCCGGTCCCGAGCCCGACATTTTCCCCTTTTCGTCTGTTTCTCGTTCCCCCGTCGTTCATGCAGAGGAGTTCCAACACGCTTGAGGGCGAAGGTCTCTCTACATCTTCGCCCCGCTGTGCAGAGGAAATCGATAGCGATCCCGCTACGACATGTTTCTCGTTGTCTTGTTGAGGTTCCCTGTTTCAAATAGGGGTTTCCTTTGTCAGAGTCCACATCCCCCGAGAGCCTGTCCTCAGTTTTTTTTCGTGCCTCTCATACTGTGTGTGCAGGTGCTCGGCCGGCATGAGGGCGCCAAGACGCTGCTGGACGTGATGGACATGGGTCTGGCGGACCAAGTAAGAGCCATGTGGAGAACACGAGGGGGAGGGGAATCCTCATGTGTTGGTTTCAACAGACGGGACCAGCGCGCGTGGCGTGTCGTGGTTGGTTGCGACCACGCGAATGTGTTTTCTCTCGTGGCCGTAAGACCCCGTTGGATCCCCGGGTGTGCGCACGGAGAGGTTTGTTCACGTGGCGCTCCCTGCTCCACTACGGTCGTTTTGTTTTTTTGGGGGGTTCTGTCTCGTAGTCTTGTGGTTTGGCGTTTTGTGTATGCGATGTCGGTGTGATGCTGAGGCCTGCTTCCTCCCAGTGCGCTCTTTAATGCTTACCGCCTCGTTTTTTTGCATCTCGTCGACGAGACTGCTGTGCTCAGGGTTTCGTCTCTTGCGCGTGACCGCTGTGTGGATTCAAGTTGCGTGTTTTAGGAGCCTGCCGCCATTCGGCCCGCCACATCATCGAGTCGTGCATTTTTGTGTTTCGACACAGGAACACGCGGGGACGGCTCACTACGACGTGATGAGGGAGTTGCTGGCGACCACGGAGGCGAAGGTGATGCTGGCCATCGACGAGTACAACGAGCTCTTCCAGATGTCCCACTGGTACTACGGAGACAGCAAGGCGAGTGCTGCAGTATCGCGGGTATCGGGAGGGGGGCGGACTTGGGTTCGCCTGTCGCACGAAGACTGATGAAAGCGTGTTGGCACTGCTTCTTAGCGCGTGTCAAGTGCCCACCATCCACGCCATTTTGGTCTTGCGGCGTGGCTCGGCGTGCACCCGCTGTTGGCGAGCATTTGCACTGGCAAGAATGAGATCTCTCGGTATTTGCTGCGTTAAGGTGTTGAGGACTGCCAAATGTGGAAGTACCTTGACCTTCCCAGGGGTCGGTTTTCAAATCATCCCCCCCTCCTCCCTACCCCTCCCTCTAATAAAACCAACGAACAGCTGGAAGCGCCGCACCTCACGGCAACCCTGCCGCTCCTGCCGCCTTTGGTCTCGACCGGCACTGGCCTGGCCTTCGCGGACGACTCGGTGGCGGCCCTTGCTAACCCGGAGGTGGTCGCCGAGACAAAAAGAACTCCTGCAGAGGCGGGGGGGGGGGCCTGGATGAGCCCGGAGACCGGGGCGGCTTGCCTGCCGCCACCGCCGGCGAACGGCATCGTGGTTTGCGCCGTGTCCGGGAGGTACCCTCCGGTGAAGAGGCTGAGGAAGAACAAGAAGTGGGTCCCGTTCGAGGCCACCGCGGGCCGGCTGGCGCAAGCCGTATCGGTAAGGGTTTGTTGCAGTTGAACATTGTTGTTGTTGTTGTTGTTGTTGTTGTTGTTGTTGTTGTTGTTCCGTTGTTCCGTTGAAGAAGGCTGGAGAGGGATTTAAACCCTTGTTTTTGGGCTTGGATTTTGGGTTTGGAACCCAACGCTTTAAACCACTATGCTATCTGGCGAGGGCGCGCTCAACGCACGGTCACCCCTACGAGATACTCCGTCTCGTTCACCCTGAAAGCATCCGCTTGTGCTTGTTCTCGTTACATTAAAAACCTTTCCGATGTCTGCTCGGTGCCTTCTAGCACCCGAGCTTGTCCAACGAGAACGGATCCCTTCCTTTGGCCCACAGCCTACCTGCCCTAAGGGGACCCAACGCAACAATCCAAGAGAGAAAATGAACTGGGTCTTTTTTTGTTTGGGATGCCTCGTGTATCGTCTTCTTAGAAGGGAGACGAAAGTATGCTGACAAGGGCAGACAATTGGTAGAAACAAACGCCCTTTCACATCTTTCGTGTTGATAATATTTTTTTGAATGTTTTTTTCTCCCTTCGACATCGCGCCAACCCGTGCCAGATTCCGGTCGAGCCGTACACCAGGCGCGAGTTCTTGCGCGTGTTGAAGCACTACGCCAGGGTAGAAGAGGTCGTCAACGGTAAGGAGCGACCCCCGACCCGATCCGTGTTGGACGGAACGTAGGGGGAACGAATAGGCGGGCGGAGGGGGGAGAGGGGTACTGCAAGAACGGCTCTTTTAACCCGCGCCTTAACGAGCTTTGGTGTCGTGCCGAAACGATCGAAAGAAATCGCACGAACTGCAATCGTGAGCGTACGATTTACTCACACACCCACACGAATACGAATTACCCTCTGTAGCCGCACTCAAACTGGCGTCTGGTCAGCCGGTTCGCTAGCGCGGTTAATGGTGACTCGTAAATTTAGAACCCAAGCGTCGGCGCGGACGCGCACGCAAGCCTCGCGCTTGACCGGCATCAAATATGTTCTCGCGTGTCCGTGCGTTTCTTTCGTCTCTCGTGGCACCGCTGGTTTTGTTGCAGAACCGTTGGACAAGATGGAGGTGGCGAAGGTGCATGCCAAGTCGGACGGTCTTCCTGAGCACGTGTTCGACACGTGCAGGGCGGGCCGTTACCGCACCGCCGTTCATGAGCAGTAGGCCGCAATTTTTCGTTGCTGCGGTCGGCTCTGTGCGACTTGACGTGACCCTCGGGGCGGCTGACATGCCGCGAACTAGTGCTGATGTTAAGCAAGTGTTTGGGTCTTGAAGTACGTCTCTGTCTTGGGGGCAAAGTTCGTTTGTGCGAAGCCGTGGAAGGCTCCACGCGTGGCCCAAGTCGTGGTATGGGCCGCCGCGGCTAGCTGCGGTATGCTGTCCCTCACTAGGAATGTTCTCTTCTCTCGCCATCGCTCACATTATTGGCATTGATCTAATAGTTGGGCTTGCCTCCGACAGGACAATTTGAGAATATATTGAAACACGTGCCAACGCGCTGACAGTCACAGACAGGCCTTGTTTGCTAGAGCTATGCAAAAGTGCCATGTCATGCCCGGGAAAAGGGTTTTCGTTGAAAAGTGCCCCATCCCCCCGACGTTTCAGGGTTCTTGACGTTACACCCTCACATCGCGTGTAGATACTGCTGCTGCTGTCCCCTTCCATGATCTATGACCTTACTTCCGGAACGGAAAATCAAGAACGAGTGACCGCCGCTACATGGGGGGGAAAAAGCCAACAAAACGGCCACAGCTCCTCTTACGGAACTGGCGAGTGTAGATCAACCGCTGTCTCTCGAAACATACAAACACATGGCCAGAACTCTCTCGCCAGATGGGAAGGGGCTAAGAACTCTTTCGACCTGTGACACTCCGCTGCCTGTCGTTACACGGATGGTCAGACTAAACACTTGGTCTGGGTGTGTCACAGGTTGAAAGCTCAACAACACGACACACCGATGAGCCTTTCACACCCCGCAGCCACAATCTCCATGCCTGGACGGCCAGACGATTTTCTAGCGATTCCCAAAACACCTTTACATCTACAACCAACGCGCCCCAGTCTCCGGCACTATCCATCCCCCGGACGCTGCTGACCCCAACTATCCTGCAAAACCCGCCTTACTACCGAACGCAAGACCCGCGTTCGCTCCTCGCCATCCCGAGCACTGCTCTTTGAACTGAATATACATGTCTTCGCATCCCGTCACTCTGCTTTCCAAGGATGCAAGCGAGTGCCTGCTCTACGGGATGTGGAACGAAAAGCGACGTCCACACATTACACTACTCTCTGCAAAAATCCATGCCGCAGGGCATGGCCTAAGAGTCGTCCATTCACAAGGAGCAACCCAGCGTAGTACCTACGGCGCACGCATTACTTACGACGCTACGTGTGTGCCAATCGCGTCGAGCACCATCCGAAAACGCATCTTTTGGTCTGTTTTGTGTTCGTTTCGTCGTGGCGTTATCGAGCTCTGACAAAAAGGTCCAGGGGATGTGATATCTGGTGCATATGCCTCCAGCTCCCCAGGTTCCCGGTACCGACCGCCCCTGGTAGCTGCGAGTACCAAGCGCGTGCTCCCTCTGCTTGGTGATTGGCACCCCCCGTCCCGTATGTTCTGGGCAAAAACAGAACGCGGCCCGGGTCCATACTATACATTCTTGATGGTTCCCCTCACGACGTTGTTGCTCATCCACCAGCTGTTGCTTGGTGACGGCAGACCACGAGCCCGGTACGACCGAGAGTCACGTCATCGCGCAGAGTCTGCCGCCGCCTTCGTCCTTTTACGCCCCCAATAAGCTTCGCATTCCCCCGTGCTCCTCTCGCCCCGCCCGCTTCATTCCCTCCGCCGCGGCCTGAATACAGTTGGTCCCGACGTCTTTTCATGGTATCGGCGCCTCTGTTGAAACCCCTCCCCCGCCCCCCGGGCTCTCTCCTTGTCTCCCCCCGCGTACGGTATACGAGAGCTGACAGCGCCGTCAGCGGTAGTCGTACTCGTCGTCGGAATCGGAATCACCGTTGTTGTTGTCGCCCTGGTACGTGCTCGAGGCCTGAACTATTGCCCTGCCGATGGCCCCTATCCAATCGTCCTTCTCCTGCCAGAGGCGGCAACAGCAGGCTGTTAATACAATATGTGGTATGCTTCAAAAGCAGGCAAGATTAAAATCTTTCACGGTGCATCGCTTTTCTGAAACAAATAACGGCTACTATCTGGGGACACGACCAGGTGCTGGACTGGGGTCAGAAGCAGGTTCTCTTGGGGATCGAGACCAACACCCTGTAGTCTACGCACACGAGCCTTGAAATGTCGCTTCGGGCAGCACGGCGGTCTGTCGGTACATGGGTTTGATGTAAGGGCGCATCACCGACAAACGAGCTCGTGGTGGAACTGTACCGGTAGGCCGCATCTTGATCTCATACCAGGCCAAGGGTAACGCGCGTGATTGCTTTCATGGCCCCCGTTCCATTCAACATGGCTGCGGCGAAAACTCGAACGAGTCAAATATATGAAACAAGAAAACATTCCCGATTATCCGACCTCCCACCCCCGAAGTGAGGTTACACACATGCACATGCACAGCAACCGTTACATAATACCTTCTCGGTGTTGGCGTACATGAAGTACGTTGTTTCGTGGGTGGAAACCTCGAGGGCGTTTCGCTTGCTAGTCTTCTGCTCCGCGGACTTGACCGTCATGCACGAGCTTAGGTCGATTCTTCCGTGCGGCGTCTCGTACTCTGACTAAAAACACGACGAAGAGGGACGACAGTCAGATTTTTCGTGCGGCACGTGGTGCTTTCAGAAAACATGAAACTACATACTCTGCACATAGACTGCTGTACGTCTTGGTGCACGCGATGCGCATCTGGAATCGGGAATATAACGGTTTTAACAGGACAGAGACTGTTGGTCGAAGAGTTTATATCTCGTGGCAAGCTCCAGACGAAAACTCCACTTTTTCTTCCATCAATAAGCGGGTATTGCAGTGGAGATGGGTCTGTTTCATACCACTGCTGCGCTACGGTATGGAAACAAAAATGGTCTAGACCGCGAACACAAGAAGCATGTACCTCGGATGATGATGTCCTCCTTCTGTGAGGTTACAGTACAAATACTTGTATGTATTTTTTGTTGTGTTACGTTTGCGGTCTCGACCATTTTGTTTCCACAGCGCTCCCTGAGCTACAGTACGGGTAACATGGCTGTTGTTACTGCTGGATGGACGTAAGTAAGAGAACCCATCGAGCTGCAATCATCATCACGGGTGCCAAGAGCATGACTAGAGCATGCATACTACGAAGTACCAAAGCATACACGTACAAGAGAGCGCTCTCTCCCGAAATTTTCGGTGGAAATATTGAGCGTGTCGTTTTGTCCACGAGGTCAAGACACACACATCGACATCACGACGAAGCAAGCCACTGGGAGGAGCGCCGAAACTACATTACAATACGGTCCACAAACGAGGGTACAATGCACCATCTTTATCCTTGTGTGCTCACGGACGTTTGTCCCTGCTCTCGAAACAACACAACGCCGCCGTCGCTATGCACTATTGGTACTTTACTGCTGATGACTCTCCAGGACGTGACCAAAATCGAATCACTGAAAAATAATAGACCGCCTGTTGCACACGGAAGCCTTTGACAACACCGCCGTTGAACAGCGGGCCGCACTCTACGACGCTAGATGCTGTAATCACACCTTGGCGAAGAAGAGGTTACTCCCCTTGAGCACGAAGAATCTCGGTCGCCAGTCTTTGAGCCAGACGCTCTCCTTCCGTAACCAACCGGCGTGGTCTGGGTTGTTGCAGTCATATCGAACCCCGGTCTTCTGGTCGTGGAAGGGTGGTCGAGCCATGGTGGTAGCCATGAGTAGAGAAGGGGGGGGAGGGTGCGTGGGGGGGTGTCGACGTGCGCGCCACGTGTGTGTCGACAACGCTAGGAAGTACAGGGAGAGCCAAGTGACTGCTGCACGCAGAAAGCACAGCCAGCAGCAGATGCGTGTATGTTGGTGGCCCTCTAGAGTGCGTTGGGCTGGGGGGGTACGGCAACTATGATCTACTTTGCGGTGCCCTTGCGCGGCAGAGCTGCCACCGCGCTGCACTCACTCTGCTTCACCTTCCGCGATGGCACCTCCCCAAGTAACAGAGGAAGTTAGGCATAGCGCCTCGCCCGACATCGAGAGTCTGGTGTACGATGCCGATCATGAGGTACCAGCGTGTGAAATGTAGTTGACGAATGGATATTAGTTGGCATGTGGGGTAGATGGGTAGATTGCTGTGTAGTAAAATCTCGCCGCACGTGAGCCAACAGATCACACCACAGCAGCACGTGCACTCGGCGGTGACAGCAGCAGCTATTGCTGCTAGCCTTGGAAAACGAAACCACTCTGCTGCTTTGGGCCTTTTGGTGTTGCTGAGCACATGTTCCACTCCATATGCATGGGTCTCCCTGGAAGAACTAAGACTTTACAGCGTCGTCCGTAAACGGCATGCAGTTGATGTTGCTGCTGCGGCTGATACGGCACCACCACCCCGTGCAGCACGCCGCCAAACGGTTGCAGCACTATTGACAACGCCGTACCAACTCAACTGCACTCCTACTCCGAACACTTCTAACACGAACGATATTGCTGTGTTTGCATTATCCGGATCCGGCTTAGACTTCTACAATGTACCATAGTTGGTTTGTAGTAGATTTCGTCTCCTGCGCGTAGAATACCCATCATACAGCCATGCGCGAGGCCCGACCAGTATGGAGCGGCACAAAAAAACAATCAAGCACCCCGAAAACGCCCTTCGTGAGCACCGCGCATGCATACGCTGAAGGGTTAGTGTACGTGTCTATGGCACGTGGGGTTGCACGTGTGTCTCTCTGTGTGCAGAATTGTGGCCGATTTTAGAAAATCACAGAATTTTGAGTTTTGGAAGTGATGCTGGCCAAGCGTACCGAGCCGTGAGGTCATAATGTCTTGACTCATGATTCATGATACAACCGGACTAAACGTTTCACATGGACTACCGAAGATGCATCGCGAACACCCACAATCATACCTACGTTGCAGGTGCCTCGGCACTGTAGGAGATTAGTTACCCCCCGAAGGTTGAGCTTCGAAGCAAACGATGCACGACACAGCGGAAAGATTTCGTTGGGTGTTGCGGTTCCTTGAGGCGGTGACAGCTTCTGCTGGTCGCCTTTCTGCCACCCACCCAATATCGGCTCTCGCTGGGTTGCTGCTGCGGCTGCTGTTCTTTCTTTTTTACCTTGTTGTGGCCGTCGTTTTAAGTTGCGGTCCAGAGTTTGTTATCTACATCATGTTTATTCTTCCCGTTGGTGTCGATGTCTTTGCAATCATCGTAGGAGTCGTGCGTTGGACACAGTACATGCAACCTACCGCAGTCCAGTAGACATGACCGGCCCAGACCTCACAGCTCAATCAAGGGGTCGCTGGGCGATATGGTACCTACCCCCCCCCCAAAGGACGCTTTTGTTTGTGCTGTGCTCAAGGAGACATTCATGCGTCACAGCAGGCATGAACCAACCCCCTTCTTTCCACACCTGATGCTACTGACTGCTTCGTCGCGCTCGAACGACAGTCGCGCATGCCGGCGCTGAAGGAGCTTCTCAACGAGATCCTTCCCCTCCGGAGCTGGAAGGAGATCGAGAAGCGTTTCATCATTTTCCGTCGGAGGGAAAAGTTTGTGCCCAAGAAGAACGTTGTGTACCACCTCTACATGGCCCAGGAGGTAAGAAGGGCACCCAGAGACCTCCCTCCTCCTCACTCCTCCTCCCCCTCCTCGCACAGCATCTCATTTTTTGCACGTGATGCCCCCACCGACACTGCTGCTATGCGGGGCGCGTGCCTCGCGACCAGGCGCCACAGGCTCAATGTTCTTACTATGTGCCTTTGCGTGTGATTCTGCTGCAGCTTCGCTCTTGTACTGTAGCGCATTTGTGTGCGAGGCCCGCGAAGACGTGTGAAATTGCCGGGCGTGCACACGTAAGTGTAGCGCAGCGTCACCCCACGCTGTGGATGGTAGCTTGATCGGCGCAGCACCGTCGCGGTCGCTCGCTCGCTCGTACGGCAGCAGAACATGGTACCAACGTTTTGCCTCGTCGGGGAGGTGCTCCGATGACAAGGAGCAGCTGTGTCTGCCACACTGCAAGGCAAGACGCATGACGTTCGCGTCTTGCCTCTCTACGCATGCGTGTTGCACTTATTTGTGTATCAGGATCGAAATACTGTATTCTCCATCTCCGTGTCTCTCTTCTTGGAGGCGTGCCATGCACCCCCATGCAGCCCAGTATCGTGCCTTGAGCAGAACACGACGAAGTGCTTTATTTGTGTGGAAACGATGCTCCATGTTGAGGACAGTTGTCCAATGACGCCAGGCAGGATGCAGGGTTTGAGGATCCTCCCCGTCCATAGTTCGAAGTCCTATTCATCGACAGGATGATCGTCCCTCCCCCTCACCAAACCAAAGAACGTCCCACTCCCTATGCACCGTTCTGCAGCCAAACGACTGCGGCATGCATGATCATGATTACACACACCGGGGCCGCCTTAAGGACAGAAACAAGCACAGGGTGAAAATATATCATGACAAGATATGGTAAGGGTGACTACTGTACTGTTCGCGTGAGAGTTGAGACGTAACACCCAATCGCCTCGGCCTTGGTCACCGCCGCCGCCGCAGGTCCGGAACGACGCCCTAGAGAAGGCCCTCGTGAGCAAGCACGTGCGCAGCCTTAGCGGCGTCCTTATCGTGACCGTGCTGACCTCCCCCTACCCGGAGTACGACGTTCCCGGCGCGGGGGGAAGGCCGGCCAAGCGCAAGGTGCAGCGGTTCTCGTGCAAGCACAACTGCTACTACTGCCCCAACGAGCCCGCCCACGAGGGGAATAACTTCGTCCCGCAGCCTAGGAGCTACCTGCACGACGAGCCCGGCGTTCGCAGGGCTAACCGCTGCGGTGAGTCCGGCGGGAGGGTGGACACGAGACAGGAAGTAGATATCGTTCATCGGGCTCTACCTTAGCAAAGAAAGCATTTGTAGGTTTAGTGCGAAAAAAGACCAGGCAGGGGGCACGCAGACCCTAACCTGAACCCTAACGCTTACCCTACCTTGTGTTTGCTAACGTAAAAAAACGTGCGTGGACTGCTGCGTTCATACCGCGAGCTTGCCTGCTTTGGCTCTATCGTGTACCGGTGGCGCACTTCGAACGAAAACCTGTCCCAATTGTTGAGAAGAGTGCCGCCGCCCAGTTGGAGCGTCAGGCGTCTTTGCTACCTACCCCCCGCTGGAAGACCACCGGCCGTGCGGTCCACAAGACTTGCTTGAGATTCTTGCTCGTCGGAAAACCAAAACCCCCGTCTCGCCAACCCGATATTACAGTCAATCGAACAACACAGCCCGCCGGACCCCTCCAAACCAATGTCACCGCTGCTGTGCTGTTTGGGTTTAATGTTGGCACCGACCGCGCTAACCGGCTGACCAATGTGTATTATGTGTGTGTGCAGGTTTTGACGCCGTACTGCAGTTTCGCGACCGTGTTTCATCCTACATCGCGAACGGTCACCCCATCGACAAGATCGAGATCCTGGTGCTGGGCGGGACGTGGTCGGAATACCCCGAATCCTACCAGGTAAATACCCCGAAGTTTACCAGAGGTTAGAATGGTACGACGGAGGCGCTCGCCGCCACGCGTCGGTTTGTGTGGCATCGTTGTCGCTGGTGTTGGTTTGATTCCCACGTGTTTTCTTGTTGCTGCTATTTGTCGATATGTTGCATGCCCGGAGGACCAAACGTGACTCTTTTTTTTCTCGTGTATTTGGTACTTTGTAGTCCTTTAGGCTGAATGCGATATGAGCAGAGAGCTATTGAATAGCTGTACCCCTGATTTTTTTTACGCTCGTTGTGCTGGTGTCGCTTTTGCCTGTGTGCCTGTCTGTCTTTCTGTCTGTCTTTTTTATCTGCAGCGCGAGTTTTGCCGAGATCTGTTCTACGCGGCGAACACGACCTTCAACGAGCGCCCAGAGAGGCTAACGCTTGAGGAGGAGATCAAACTCAACGAGGTCAGGTGTCATTGTACAAGCTCCACTGCTTGTGGGCAAGAAGACACTATGTAGTTCTTTCGATAGGTAGCAGCAACCTGCGATTGCTTGGTTGGCTCATCATGAAACAATCAAGCATTGGTGTTTGCTTGGCGAAGGGGGCAAATTTTGTCGTTCCTATACGCCTGTGTGTGCTACATTGCGTTTTTTTGTGCTTGTGTCTGCTGTCTCTTTCCACAGGTGTAGGACAACGCACGGCACTCGAAAGGAAACCGTTCGTGTGTTCTTGTGTTTGGTGATGTCAAGTCCTGGCGGCGTGTGTGAAGCCCACATTCGCACACCGGTGCTCTTGAAGCCGAGAATAACAGGAGTACGACGAAAGGCGTACTCAGGATTCTGGCAGTCGGCCTCACTGCTGCTGCTGCTGCTGCTGCTGCTGCTGCCTTTGCCGCCTTTGTGTACCACTGCTTGCCGCCGCTACACGCCGCCGCTCCCGCCGTCATGAACGTACATCAATCTCCAGGATGCCTCGACACGCGTCATCGGCCTTACGCTGGAGACCCGGCCGGACGTGATCGACCTGGACGAGATAGCCCGACTAAGGAGCTACGGTTGCACGCGGCTGCAGGTAGGTACATGTCACTTTGAGTTATTGTGATGCACGTCCCTACATCGCGGCGTGCGGGTGGGTGTACCCGCGATGGTGCGGGTCAACTTGGCCTGGCACCTACCTGATGTCACCGTGGCGGAGCAGCAAGGGCGGTGACAGGGATGGTTTTGCGTGTCGATTGTCGACCTATCTCCTCACAAGAGTCTCACCCCGTTCATGCCGTCAGCGCCGCCGCCGCCCCACCGAGACTGTCGTTCCACCGCTGTACCCCAAAGACGCTGTGCCGCCAGCAGTCGACGGGGCCTCCATTGCGGAGCGGTCGAAAATCATCCAGGATGCGAGTATCTTACAAGTGTTGCCTACTTATGGCCTGTGTGCCGTTTTCCGCGCAGATCGGGGTGCAGCACACGGACAACGCGATCTTGAAGAAGATCAACCGCGGCCACGACGTGGAAGCCACCATGAGGTGTCTACGGTTACTCAAGGACAACTGCTTCAAGGTATCTATGTTTGCGTCAGTTCAGCAGCGGCACGCCAGAAACAGCTCCAACTTCGCCACTTGTTCTGGGGCTGGACAGGGGTACAAGGACGTGCAGTCAGGCTGCTTTGTCGGCATGATATTCCCCTTGGTTGAAGAAATCCAGCAGCAGCAGCAGCAGCAGCAGCAGCCAGCAGAATCAGCAACAGCATTTGAAGACATTGTGTAAGAGTGTAGCGAGGCGAGGATAGCACGCATGGGAAAAATCAGACGCGACATGAGAGGCACCCACAAACGCTCCCGCCGCGCGTGCCTGTCTTCAAGTTCTACCGTCAACGTTATCCGACCGCCTTGGGTCCATTAGCAAGTTTACTAGGAAATACAACAGGAAGGGGGGGACGCAGACCCAACCCCTAACCCTACCCCAACTTCCCCGATTGTATGGTTTGTCCAACATGCTCATGTTACGTAATACGAAAAGCCCTGCGAAGCCTACTTACTGACATTGTCTGGCGGCGATCTGGCCCGACCCCCGACCTCGGTCCACCCCGCTGTGGTGGTACTGAAGGTTAAGGTCGGAAAGAGGGGCGGAACAACCCCTAGCGGTTGTCTCACGCTAACCGGATGTTATGTGAAGGAAACAACTGAGACAATGCCGAAATTATCGGGGTGTGGTTGGTTGAAGTAGCACGCCGCAAGCGCGACCTGTAAGTCAATCTACGAAGGAGACTTAAGTCAATCTACGAAGGAGAGGTAAGTCAGTCTACGAAGGAGACGTAAGTCAATCTACGAAAGAGACGTAAGTCAATCTACGAAGGAGACGAAGGAGGTGACTTGGCACGACGAGGTCACGTGACTTCGATGGTGGTGACGCTGTTGCTGCCCCTCTCATGTTTCGTGAAAAAAGACCCCGCTGCTTCATCCTCTGTTTTTTTTGTGGCTGACCGAAACCCCTGGATTTTGACGACGTCAATTCCAAGCGGCACGCACGTCTACGTTTTGTCATTCTCCGCATGGCGTTCCTAACGCAATACGAAAAGCTGCGACTGCCACACAGCAGGTAGAGGTGGCCACCGCCGTAGCTTTGCTGATACCAGCAATGATGTCAGCAATGATATGTTGATGTCTTTGAAAGCATGATTTCAACAATGATGTTTTTATGTCGTTACGACAAAGGTGGACATTCACCTCATGCCGAACCTCCCGGGGTCTACGGTCGAGGGAGACGTGGAGATGTTCGACAAGGTGCTCGGGGACCCCGATTTGCAGGCGGACCAGTGGAAGGTATCTACGTACGTCGTGTGTAAGTTCACGTATCAAAGGGGTGTACGTCGGTATCTTAATTTTTGTTTTAGAAACCAACTATAGAAATAACAGCGTCGACACATTCTTCACCCGTGAGCTGATGTTCGAATAGCAAAAGCCTCTTCAGCTGACTTAGAGCTCCTAGATCCTTGGGGATGTGTCTTGCGCAAGTAGCATGGCAGCGGGAATACGAAATTGAATGAGGGGGGACTGTGGAGCTTCTAGAACATGTGTTCGGCCAACGCCTACTGGGGCTAAGATTACCGCTAAAATGTGACCTTGTGTTTTTATAAAGGGTGCAGACTGCGATAGCGGAGACTCGCTCCAGCTGAAGATTTGATCCAGACAAGCAGACACTGTAACGCACCAATGCTCGTTTGTTTGATGGGCCAGCGCACACGACAAAACTTGTCTATTCATTCATTAAGGCTC